TATCTGATCTAACAAATATACAAGACAAACAATAATATTTTGTCAATAAAATACAATTATTAACTTTTTCATATAAAATAATGGCATTTTTTAATAATTAACAATTAAATAATTTTTGAGTTTGACAAACACACCACAAAACACAGCTATACAGCATTCACAACATAATAATAATAATAATAATAAAAAATGTCTGAACATTGACTCAGTCTGTATTCACCTTTTTCTCATGGTTTCTCAATAGAGTTGATAAAAGTATAGAATATCATAGTTCTAATAGGGGTTCATTGTAACACAGTGTGACAACATGCCCCGCCTGAGCAACTGGGGTTTAAACCCGGCGAGTGTGTTCTGCTGTTAGATCAGCATTAAACAACTATCTCAACTGTTCAATAACAGATATAAGATTAAAGTAATATCAGATTTGTCTTATTTTAAATAAACACACACAAAAAAAAAAACTGAAATGAAAACTTAACTTAAGAAATGTACTTTTGCTATGGTTAAATAAATGTTCAGTAATATCTTCCAAAGATTTTTTAATTTTGGCCCAATTTTTTCTCTATATAGTGTTGATTTGGTAACAAGTTTTGTCATGCCGGCATGTGTGGAAGTATTTAAAACAAGTGTGTTACAACTAGCCGTGCGTTAGTTTGTGCCCCCCTCATGATGACACCATTTTAATTTTTGAGTGGACGCACACACACACACACACACACACACACACACAACACACACACACACACAAAATAAACTAAGTGCACTGCAGAGTCTGACACAACAACATCTTTCACCGTCTCTTCTCTGAGCGAATGTGTCTGCATTAACAGGCCTGCAGGGGGCAGCAGAGAACATGTGTTTACAGTTTTTCTCAAATGCTAAAACACTAAACCCTATTGTCTGAACCAAATGCTCAGTTGCCTGAACCCACTGATTGAATCAATCACTCTTTTGGCAAAACCATAAGCACTTTTCACCTGTTTAGACACAACTTGCCAACACATTTTCATTGTGATGCACCCGTGCTGCATAATGGTGAGCACAGGTGACAAAAGTCAAACACAATTAAAGCACAGGTGTCACCACTTGAACACAACAATTCAAAATTGATCACACTTGTGGCTAATGATGTGAGGGAACATATACAGTAAGCCAGTTCAGAGGGCACTGGTTTGTGAGGCTCTACAATGGATAGAAATCTGAGAGGAGGAATTCGTGTGAGAGGAGGTCGAGGTGGTCAGCGAAGACAAAGAACAGTAATATCTGATGAAATCAGAGCTACTGTGATTGACCATGTTCTTGTCCATGGTATGAGGATGAGGGAGGCTGGACAAAGGGTACAACCAAACATCAGTAGATTCACTGTGTCCACCATAATCCGAAGATTTAGAGAAGAGAACAGGTAATTACCTTTTTTTTGACATTATATACAGTATGTAAATGTTGACAGCAATTACTGTATGACATACTATATACTATACCACAGTATACTGTAAGTAAATATATGTTTCAGTACATCACTGTACCAATGTACTGTAGTATTGTAATGGAGGGTTGGTCTAACTGTTGTAGGCCTAGTATTCCATGTATATTTTTTGTAACTCCATGTTCTCTCTTTGTAGAATTGAAAGACCGCCACGTGGGGGTGGGAGGACAGGTATGTTCTCCCCACACCAAGAGACCCTAATTGTTGATATGGTCCGTGAGAACAATGGCATTAAACTGAGTGAAATTCAGCAGAAGATCATTGAGGACCATGTAAATTTTGAGGGTATCAACAGTGTCAGCCTCTCTACTGTTGATCGTGTCCTCAAGCGCAACAGAAACCGCTATACAGAGTCAAAGAGCAAAGATTCCAATATGTACAGGTTGGCATATATCCAGACACATTCAATTTTGATTACTCTAGGTAGTGATTTACTGTAGTGGCCTAAATCACTTTTTCCGTATCACTTACAAAACGATATCTATTTCTACAGAGGGTTTTTCAACTGGATGCAATGGAAAGACCCCATGAATACATCTACATGGATGAAGCTGGGTTTAATCTCACCAAAAGGAGAAGGAGAGGCCGTAATGTGATTGGCCATCGGGCCATTGTTGGTGTTCCTGGGCAGCGTGGGGGCAATGTCACATTGTGTGCTGCCATCAGCAATCATGGGGTTGTCCACCATCATGCCAACCTGGGGCCCTACAACACTCACCAGCTCCTCATTTCCCTCAATCACACGCGAGATGCTCTGTTAGGGCAGCAGGATGAGCATCCCATCTATGGTATTGTTTGGGACAATGTGAGTTTTCACAGAGCCCTCCAGGTTAGAGAGTGGTTCAATATGAACCAAGGTTTTATCAATCTTTGCCTTCCACCGTCCTCCCCTTTCCTAAACCTCATTGAGGGATTCTTCTCCTCATGGCGGTGGAAGGTATATGAACGCCAACCTTACACCAGGGTAAATCTACTGCAAGCCATGGGACTCGCCTGTGGTGGCACAGGTGTGGAGGCATGCCAAGCCTGGATACGGCAAGCCAGGGGTTTTCCCCGTTGCCTGGCCAGACAAAATGTGGCCTGTGACGTGGATGAAGTCCTGTGGCCTGACCCAGTACGGAGACATGATGCTGTGGCTGAGTAATGCACTTATTTGTATATTTTTGTACTTTATTTTTACATGGGCGTACTGTACACAAGTGGCAAACGCATAAGATTTCTGTTTGATTTTACAAGTGCTACGTGTAAATGCACAAGATTTCTGTTTTGTCTTTTTGTACAAGTGCTAAATGCACAGTTTTTTTTGTTTTGCAATATGCATTTAGCCTATAGTGAACAATAAACATTTATTTCTCCAGCTTCATGTCCTGAGCATTGTGTTTTCTATTTTTCTATGTAGTGTTTAGTGACTGTTCAGTAGCGTTTTTAATTTTGATTGACTCGGGGCACGAATTTGACAACATAGTTCAGTTTTGAGCACAGTTTGAACTGTTTTGAGGTGAAAGTTTGGTTTTGCAAGAAGAGTCTGAGGTTTTGTGAATATAGCTTGAAAATTGGGCTTTGTGTTCACAGTTTGGAGAAAAGGAGAGCAGCTTTCAAGAAATGTGCCTTAGCAATCGAGAATAACTGTAATCATGTGATCAAAGCTAAGTTTCAGCATCATTACTCCAGTCTTCAGTGTCACATGATCCTTCAGAAATCACTCTAATATGAGGATTTGATGACATTTCTGGTGAGAGAGAGAGAGAGAGAGAGAGAGAGAGAGAGAGAGAGAGAGAGAGAGAGAGAGAGAGAGAGAGAGAGAGAGAGAGAGAGAGAGAGAGAGAGAGAGAGAGAGAGAGAGAGAGAGAGAGAGAGAGAGAGGAGAGAGAGAGAGAGAGAGAGAGAGAGAGAGAGAGAGAGAGAGAGAGAGAGAGAGAGAGAGAGAGAGAGAGAGAGAGAGAGAGAGAGAGAGAGAGAGAGAGAGAGAGAGAGAGAGAGAGAGAGAGAGAGAGAGAGAGAGAGAGAGAGAGAGATTTCACAAATTTTCAGTGTTAAAAAACAGTTGTGCTGCTTCATATTTTTGTGGAAACTGGAATACATTTTCCCTGAATTATTTTATGAATAAGACAGATGTTTAAAAATGTATTTTATTATAGCTATTTATTTAAAATAGGAATCTTTTGGAACATTATAAATGTCTTCTTTACTGTCACTTGTTTAAAAAAAAAAGTATGCATCCCTGCTGAATAAAAAGTATTCATTTCTTCTCATTTGTTGCTAAAAATGAGAATCAGTTGGAGACTCATATTTATTTTTCTTTCCATTTCAGACATATGAGGAATAATGTAAAACATCTTCGGTAGAAACCGATTCTAGATTTATATTTCATTCCCCTTGCAGGAAAATGTCTCTTTTATTGTGTTTAATATTGAGCATATTGTCTAAAAACGCTCACACATACAAATACCACCTTAATTAAATATATACATTCTCTTTTACTATCTTACCATATTTACAATCACCCTTTACAACGAGCATCCGTCCAGTGTTCAAGTCCATAAGTACGAAAAGATATAAAAATAAAGCTGCCTCTTCTTAGTATTAACAGGGAAATCAGCCCGATCTCATGAAAGTGCGTGTGTATAGCACGCGTTGTGTTTATCGTGCAATTTATACGCCAAAATTATTTTTTTCGTGCATATGATAGCCTACGCAATTTTCGCGTGCATATGATACGCACTTTATTGCGTGTAATACACCCCTAAGGGCCGTTACACAGTCAACGCGAGCGACGCGCTCCCTTTCATAGTCTAAAAAGTGGACGCAAGGGTCAAGGGCGATGCGTCTTTTACTGTCTATGGTTAAATGCCATACACCGCTCACGCATCGGGGTAGTAGAGTCGCGTGATATTAGTAGAGTCGGGTCACGTGATATTCAGATCAAAATGGCAACTGAAGATCAATATGCAAGATGAAGTGCATATTGCTGATTTCACGCAGCCGGCATTTTGAAATCGAAAGCTAGGCTCCGGTGGGAAGAACCCCGGAAGTACAGATAGACAACAATGTCTTGGACTACCAACCTGAAGCTGCTGCCGCGATTTACACTATTGGATGTTAATCATCTCTATAGTTCGTTCCTGCTTCTTTTTTTATGTTGTGAATTATATATAAAAAAATAATTTTATTTATAAATGAATTTCACTGTATATAGTCTAAAGTATGAAAGAGATGTATGTACATTTTTAGAATAACTAATTTCTACATTAAACACAACAATACGCCATCGCATTCGCAACTCTCCTATGATTAAAGGCGACACTTCCGGTTTTCTTCCCACCGGAGCCATTTCAAAATGGCGGCTGCGTGAAATCAGCGTATTGCTGATTTAACATCGGTGGCAGCGCAGAGATAGGCGGAGGTATGTTCACTTCTGCACGCCACCTTCCACTTTTTGTGCGCCCTAGTAAATTTGTCACGGGCACAGTGTAATTGCGATGAACTGTCATATAAATGTGGATGTGGAAATTTTTCCTCTTCGCCCGCCATTGTATTCAAACCTTCTTCTGTAAACATAATATACTTGAATTAATGTACAATACTTGCAATGTCGGCCCCACCGACAACGCATAGTATTGCGTGCATCGGTGCGTCGCGTATCAAAAACTAGGACGACACATTTGGCTACGCATCGACGCATAATGGCGGCCGAAGTGTAGCAATGCTTAGCCTTGCGGACGCGTTTGCGTTCCGATGCGTTGACTATGTAACGGCCCTAATCCTACCGCAAACGTATAATACACACGTACCCCACACCACTACTAAATCTACCCATATCCACGTAAAAATCGAATTTCCGCGAATTAATTGCACGATAAACACAACGCGTGCGATAGAGACGCATTTAGTGTGACGGGTTGGAAATAGTCCGCTGAGTGTGTGTGTGTGTGTAAGTGTTGGTGTTAGGAGGGTCTTCTGTTGCGTTTCGCCCGTCGGGTCGGAGGGAAGCTGATGAACTCGAAGTGTTTGGGTTGGTCTGAGTTGGGGAAGGGGAGAGGGCCTTTGTGGAGGCGTTTGATGAAGTGAACTTCCCGCTGGTTCTCCCTGGTTTTGGAGGCCTTGATGGGACGACCCTTTCTGCTGAAGGCCACGAACCAGCCTTCGTAGCGAGCGTTCTGGAAAGCGGTGTAGTTGTTCTCCAGAACGATCTCTGTGAAGATGCAGTCCCGTCCCCTGCCGTTAGCCTGGGACGAAGAGAGAAGAGTCACGGGTTATTATTGCACAGAACATTAAAGTCATCGTGAAATCCAACTGGGCAGCTCTTGGAATATTGCAGTTTTTATTTTAAATTATTTATGTGTTAATGTTTTAAATTCATATTCCTGTTAATGTTTAATCAGAATAAGTTCCTCTTGCAGCACATCTCTTCTCTGATGACGAGGGCGGGGCTATAACCTGTCACTCACATGAGATCAGCCAATAGCAAACCACAACCATCCAATCAATTCCTCACAGACAAAATCAAGCCCCGCCCACATTTGTTCTTGTTCCAGAAGCATTTTTCTCCGATTTTTCGGCACAATACAGAAGAAAAGAATAGTGCAACTTCCGTTTCAGGCCGACTTTAGACTCAAAACAGGCAAATAACTGTGAAATTAAAGTCCCCCTGTGGTGAAAATCCAGCTTTTAATGTTGTTTATGTGTCTATGTGGTGTTTTTAATATGCTTTATGACAAACCATGTGTAAGTTCATAAGTCGACAGCATTGCTGAGTATTTTCTGCTTAAAACTGCAGTGAACCAAAGACAGTCTCAAAAACACGGTTTGAAATCGCTGGTGTTTCTGACGTCACAAACGACCTTGTAACCAATCAGATCAACGTGTGATCGTCAACCAGTGGATCTCTGAGCTGAGTGAGTGAGTGGAGGCGGGGCTCATTTGCATATTCATAGAACCACGCATACTAGATGAGGCAAGGGTGTCGAGTTACATTCAAGATATTTGAAGGCACGAATAATTTTTTTCCAAGGATTTTTTTTTAAAACATCATTTTGGTGATCAAAGATGAGTTTTAAGAGATACAATTATTGACTACATGGGGGACTTTAAGTGCGAATTGAACTGAACTGTTGAAGTTGCAATTTAGTACTTTTCAAATATATTATATATATTAATAATAATAACACACTACAGTTAAAAGTATTTCACATGTGCTTTAGTATATTAGTAAAACCTTACTTAAATAGTGCACTTCTTTAGAGCATTAAAACATTATTTAAAATTGTCTTTTCATTTGAAATTATTTCAAAGTACATTTTTTTACTCAAGTTTAAGTTCTTTAAGTGTGCTAGGAAACATTTGCAAGTATAGATTTTTTTATATGCTTATTTTTTGGACTTCACACTGATACCTATACGGATGACGTTTATGTTTATTATCTCAGTTGAACAGCATGTGACCTCTGTTCCTGGAGAATAAACCAGCTTTTATTATTTAAATGACAGACTTTGTTTCATAATTCCGAAAGGAATTGAAAGTGCTCGTGTCGGATCTGATGTGATCGAGTCCTCGTCTCTCAACACGGCTCCGGCCCGATGCTCTCACTGTCTCCATCTGTCCCAGCACTTCGTCTCATGGCAAACTCACAGCGCTGAAGACATGTTTTCCACTTCCGTGAAGGAAGAAGTGCTTGACATCTGACTATGTGCATGTGTGAAAGAAGTTTCCTCAACTCGCAGGCCTGGTCGAGTCTCAGGCAAACGGACACGGATCTCGATGCCGTTCACTGTCCCGCTGTGTATCTACATGTCCCATCCCGACGGTTAAACAGCCAGGGGTGTATATATGGAAAAGAGCAGCTTTGGCATTTTGATAACTCTTTTTTCTTTCGCAGGAAACAATCATATGAGTCTGGAGAGACTTAAGGGGAGCAGATTTGTGTTTTAACCCACTGGTGCTCTTCTGTCATTTTTGACCGAAATTTTTACATTTTGTTTGTTTCGAATTTTTTACTTCATTGGAATGGTGCGAAACTTGGTAAAGCTTTTGGCACTTTCTATGTGAACACACACAAAAAAAATCATGGATATTATTCGAACAGGTTAAATGGTCCTGTGAAAAACAGTCACATTGTGCTCCTCGCGGTCATAAATGAGCGCATTGGAAATGAATGAGAAGAATTTCCTCTAGTGGAAGCGTTTGGTACTGCAGCCAAACAAAATATTACTGAAAGCTCATATTTTGAGATATCAGGCTCAAATTTGGAACACAACTTGTTTAGATTTATGGCTTTGATTTGTTTGAGGTTTTAGATTTCGAAAATATATATTTCATGTCAAAATTGAAAATAGTATTTTTGTGCATTTTTTCATAATACATGTACAATTCTCCTACTTTTTAAGTTCACTTTTTAAAGCTTTTTTCTCTTCAGTAATAATCTGCCAAGTGAAGTCTTAGAAAAGAGATTAACGACAGTTTAAGTTGGAAATTTAATCTGCAGGTCTATATCCTCAAAAAGAGAATAAATGGATTATAAATACAGAGTAAATATAATTTAGTATAAAAAGTTAGTATAAAAAGTGTTTTGTATACACTCAAAACATCAAATATTTTCCACTTATTTTTATGTTTTAATTGAACATGTAGGGTCATTAACCTCTTTTTTTTTTTTTAAATCAGCTTGCCATCTAGTGGCAAGAGTCATGAAATATCATGTTATATTATTATTTTTCCACAAGAGGTCGGCAAAGACACCCAATGTAAGATATTTTGAGCTGAATTAAAAGTGTTATGCTTGAAATTGTGAGTTATTTTTAATTTAAGTTGAAAGAATGTCAGGAATGTGCTGAAATGACTAAATTACAATTTGTTTATTATTTATTGATCAAATCTAGTACGGTAATTAAAAGGTAAATAAATTAAAAACTAAAACAATTGCATTAAAAAAATAGAAAAAATATTATCAAAATGAAATTAAATAAGCATTCTGGACAAAAAACCCCAAAACATTACGTATAATATTAGGGCTTCGGGTCATTTTGACCCACGAGGGAAAGATGTGTTACAAAGTGCGAAGGGTGAAGGATAAAAACAAATATCCCCGGACGTCACTTTTGCTCACTACTGTATATCCGAGTGAAACCGCTTCGCAAACAAGAACAAATGTGGGCGGGGCTTGAGTGGGGATTTGATTGGATGGTGGTGGTTTTTCTATTGGTCGATCTCATGTTTTAAGTCATGCAACCTAATTATCCAAGATCCAATTTTTTTTTGTGAAGTTCAAAATACACTTGTCCCAACAAAAATGAAACATGCTTTCCAGAGGAATCTCCAAGCTGGATGATGGATAGCATACGTACCTTGCCCACTAGTTTGCCCCTGCGGTTCATACACAGGTATCTGCCCGTCTCCGCTCCTTTGATCCGAACTCGACTCCCGAAGGTGTCCGTCTCCACATAAAGTCTGGCTGTAATGCAGGACAAGTGCTTTACCAAACTAAATACTGCATAGATCCAGCCATCTATCAATATCATATAAAACTATACCAAAATCATAATGAAAAACACATCAAATTTAGCTCAAACATTTTTGAGAGCGTTATAAAAGTATATTTATTTCTACCTGACCTAAAGTCACTTTTGATCAATGAAATTAAGCTGATTCAGTCCTGTTACACTTAGATGATATGGCAAGCTGTTTTGACTTTTAATCATCCGCAGGATATGAATTATTGTCAACAAATATCAACAATTACATTTTTAATATAGTTAAAATGTTAATTCTTGATATCAGGAATTAGTATTCTAGTAAAAAATGGCAATTTTTTATTTCAAACGATTCAATTTCCACTAGTAAAAAGGTTTATTCTTGATATCAACAATGATGTCATCACTATCAGAAATACAAATTCCTGATATCAAGAATTACATTTCAACTAGTAATTAGAAAACTAGAATTCTTGAGATCTGTAATTTGTATTTTCAGTAGTTAAATGTCACCAGGGCTGCCATTCAAATTCAATTGTTGATATCAAGAATTGATTTCTTAGTTTAAATTCCAATTTAACATATCAGAAATACAATTATTTCTAGAAACAATCATAATTGTTGATATCAGTAATTATGTGGTTACTAGTGCAAATGTCTGTTCTTGATAACAACAACTGAATTGCTTCTAGTAAAAAGAAAAAAATTGGGGGGAATTTGAAATCAATAATTCGACTGTCACTAGTGACAATGTTTATTTCTGATATCATGAATGTGATTGTTACTAGTAAGAGCCATTTTAGATATCTGAAATTACACTCCTAATTATTGATGTCAGAAATACATGTTCAGATATCGGAAATAACAAATGTAACATATTGAAATACATTTACAGATATCAACAATTAACATTTCAACTAGTGAAAATTAAGTTCTTGATATCAACAACTGAATTTGAATGGCAGCCATAGTGAAAATACAATTACAGATATCAAGAATTTACATTTTTCTAGTGGAAATTGAATCATTGATATCAAAACTTGCCATTGTCACTAGAAATGCAATTCCTGATATTAAGAATTACATTTTAACTAAAGAAGTCAAAATGTTTGATGGTGCGAGAATTGGAATTGAGACGTTTTATTATAATGTTAATGTTAAATACATTTTTGGAAAGAAAGAAAGAAAGAAAGAAGAGAAAGAAAGAAAGAAAGAAAGAAAGAAAGAAAGAAAGAAAGAAAGAAAGAAAGAAAGAAAGAAAGAAAGAAAGAAAGAAAGAAAGAAAGAAATGCCAAGCAGTCACAAAGCATTGGAGTGTGTGTAATGTGTGATCGGTCAATATTTTCAGGATTTCAGGTATATTAAGTTCAAATGCATAGTGCATTATCATGATGTTCAAGATGACTCTCACAAGTCAAATCAGTCTCATTTCCCTTTGCTGTTTGAAGCAAATTATCACATCCTAATCAACACAAAGGGAAACGATTAAGCCAAGAAATGTCTTTTGAACCATATCAGCAAGTCCCTTTTCAGCCAATAAAGCAATCATCCGCGAAACAGCGCTATAATCTGCACCGAAACCCCCGTGAGTGAATCACCGGGACGCGGATGGATACTCGACGCGGACTCACCGAAAGCGTTCCCGTCCTCCGCGGTGGCGCTGACTCTGCGGCCCGGGATCTGCACGTGTCTCCCGCTGGTCCTGCTGTACAGCTGATACACCCGAACCTGCCGCCGGCTCAGCTGGTCCGTCAGCGAGCCCTGTTCCCTCACATACTGCTTAAAATTAGGAGAAGGGTGATTCTTCTCCCCCTTTTTCGGTGCAAAGGGAAAATAAGATCACATATATGATCTCTCTCTCTCTTCTCTCTCTATTGCTGGAATAGAAAACCTGTTTCGTTTTTGTAAATGCCAGCAAGAGCATGATCTAACTCTGCAGCCCGATCTCATGTAGGCTATTTATACGCAAAAAAAAAAAAGAGATAGATTTTACGTGCATATGATTTTCGCGTGCAAATGATATACGCACATTATGGCGTGTAATATTCCACACCACTAATCTATCCGAGGGGTTTAATTACAGTGCATATGCACGTAAAAACTTTTTTGTTGTTGTTGTTGCGTAGGACTATAAACTGCACGATAAATAGGCCTACAATTCGTAGGCTACTAGATATCCACTTTCATGAGATCGTGTTGATAACCGACTCAACGGAGTTAGATTTGATGTAGGCTCATCTATTCCAGCTAGGGCCCGGGGCCCACTAGGGCCTCAGCAAACTTACAATGATTTCAAATGAGATACAATAAAGTAATCGATGCTAAAAATCGTTAGACATGTAAACTAGCTTCATTTGATTTGCCCCACCAAGAACACCAGGCTACAGTTATTACAACTTTTGATCGATTTGGAAGCTTGACATGGGCTATAACCTTGCTTAGGCTACTATACAAGTACCACATTTAAACTAAATGTAATTGACATATGCATGCGGTTTAAATGAAATAGCTTATTAGGCCAGTAAAAAACACAAACAAAATCAAATGTAATAAACCGCTATTTACCTGCGCGTGACACCACACCACGAAGAATGAAAAGAGCTACAAAATAAAACAAATCAAAAGTGAGAAAAGCATTATAATGGATTATATAATTAGACAGTAGGCCTAGATATAATAGCATAATATAATTAGTTAATAGCCTACATATAATATCATTATACAATATAAATTAGATTAATGCCTGTATCACAACTCATAATAGGCTACACATAAAAATAGGCTACATAAAAAAATTATTTAATCGTTCTCCTACGTTACTTTCAGTTCAGTAACGGTTTCTTATCGAACAAATACACATATTTTTTCTATACAATTATTGAGTTGCTTGTATGATTCTTTGGGGATTAAAACACGTTTTCCCCCGAAGCACCAAAACAAAACATTTTCTAAAGAACTAGAAAATAAAGTTTTTTTTCACATTCTTCTTATAAAGCATCAAACTGTAAAATGAGCAAATTTTTAAGATTAAAGATCTAAATATCAGTAGCCATACTCACATGTACAAGCAGCGCTGATTTATTCCATACATTGTGGAAACGCAAAGTCAAAAGTTTTATCCAGGGTTCTCCAGAATGATAATCCAGCTCGCTGTGATCTCCTGATTAAATGACCAGAGTCAAATCCATATGCCAGTGTAAATATATAAATATATACGCGACTTCGGGGGCGCGAGATCTTCACAAGCCCCTCAGATGCGCATCCTCGCAAACACACACGCGGATAAATCCCACTGGGAAAAAACCGATCCGCATATAGTCCAGAAGAGTATGGACTTCCATCATATGTTTTGTAGCAATGCGAACATGTGATTGTAAGGGTGCCGTGTGGTCTTGATGTTGTGTTGGCACTGTCACTTGTGCGTCTGGATCATTCACTGCGCCACAGGGATAGACGTCAAGATCCCTCCCTTTTCCCCTTTAGAGACTCATGCACTTTTAAAAAACCCTCAAGCCTTGCTGTGTTCTGTTAGATGCACACCTGGAGCTGTTTCAAATCACTAACTTCACCAAGAGACCATGTGACTATCCACAAGCCTCTCCTGATGTCTCCCAGTTTCACCCAAACTCCCATCTAACGGATGATTAATCTTTCCAAAAGAACTGTGATGTATTCAGATCATCCTCTGTATTTAAAGCTTTGAGGTTCTTCAGAAAGGGGTGTGTGTGTGTGTGTGTTAGGGCCCATCTCAGTGTTGGTCTCTCCCCATGAAGGGGCCGCGGCTCACACCTTTTGCTAACCTGGCGGCTCTAATGAGATAACAATGGTGTCCTTTAATCACAGGCGTCCAGCGGGCTTTTGTTCACTCCTGCAGAATCCACATCAAGCACTAACGATATAACGTCAACAGGATGCTCGCTTTCCCACGCACAGTTCCCTCGCATCGGGGCAATTAGTGCTGTCTTGCAAGTGTGACCATAGCAGAGCCACTTGGTTCCCTCAAATCAAAACTTGTGTGAACTTTTTCCACACCTAGAAGAGTGAAACTCAAGGATTCACCAAGTGCTACATGTTCCTGGATGAACTTATTGCTGATCCTGGAACAACATTCCTGTCCTAAACCTATAAATTATCCCTAAAATCAGAGGAAATAATGGGTGAATAACTGATGATGAAGCACCAAACCCTGATTGTAAGCCTAAACGTGATATAAACTGTAAACTCAAACATGATTGATTGATTGATTGATTGGAAAGGTGATCCAGGAACATGTTGCACATCTGGAAATCACGTTCACCGGATAGATACTGTAAAGCAGTGTTTCTTGGATTTGTTTCAGAACTCAGATTGGTGACCCAGCACAATGCCAAACCCCATATTTAATGTAGAATGTCATGCATTTTGTTTAATTTTTTGTCTCACAACTTGCCCATGTTGGCATATCATTTGTCAATATGGGTTAACAAATGAAAAATACTGTGAAAATACAAGTTTGATTGGATGCACCGAAATCCAAGTGTGGGCCACAATATGCTGAAGAATGTCTTTTATTGGATGCAAATCTTGCATGTCAAAAACAAATGATATGGAAAGTATTTTTCCCTTCTCTTTTAAAAGTCAATAACCCTAATTATTTTTGCTGTCCTAGTTGCATATAATGATTTGTATTTATTTTCATAGCTATCTGCAACCCGGATCATGCACCTTTATTTAAAAAAGGTGTATAGAATTGTAGATTCTTCTATTTAGGCAATTTTTTGTTCAGTTTATGAATGGTCTCACTTGTTGAATGAATTTAAATTTGTGAACTGTCCATCTGGTGCCAGACGTGGACTTCACTCTTGGCGTTTATTGCAAAGTGTTCTCCACCCATCAGTTTGTATTTTGCTAACGACGGACAGATAGTCAGAAGGGTGTGAATAGTTATTGGCGATAAAGACGAGTGAGACAGGTGTGTGTGTGTGTGTGTATTTGATGTGAATGTAACCGGAGGACTGAATAGCTCAAGTCTAAATTCTGCACGCGTTTTATCCACTGATATTTCTATATTTATTTTCAATTTAATTTAATAATGAGCATTAGATTTTCAAAATGTAACTAATTAGAATTTCATTTAAAATGTAGTCCTTTTTTTCTGGTGTTGCTTGTTTAAGTTGCTCATGGGCAAGTCCAGACATAACTTTGTTTCTGAAGGAGATCAGGTAAGATACTGAGTATTGGGAGCTGAATACATCATCAAATTAGGCATGTGGTGTTTTTAATATGCTTTAAGACAAACCATGTGTAAGTTCATAAGTCGACAGCATTGCTGAGTATTTTCTGCTTAAAACTGCAGTGAACCAAAGACAGTCTCAAAAACACGGTTTGAAATCGCTGGTGTTTCTGACGTCACAAACGACCTTGTAACCAATCGTCAACCAGTGGATCTCTGTGCTGAGTGAGTGAGTGAGTGGAGGCGGGGCTCATTTGAATATTCATAGAACCGCGCATACTAAATGAGGCAAGGGTGTCGAGTTACATTAAGCTATGATTTTTTTTTAAGGAGAAAACTTTTAAATATGTAATTTTGGTGATCAAAGATGAGTTTTAAGGGATAAAATTATTGACTACAGGGGGACTTTTAAAAAAAACATACAAGGGGCGGGAAAACGTTCTGATTGACAGGCATTCCAATTTTACATAAATCTGTAGAGCTTTTAGCGGAATATGCTTATAGTTATGACAATGTCCTGCAAAACTGAACAGTACAGTTATGAGAATTGATGTGAATTCCTCACCTATTAAGAGATATTAGCTGCATTTTCATGGGCACCTTTCCTTTCAATCGGAATGAAATCTGATCGATTGATGAATCTAACCATTGTGTTTACATGAACGATAAATAAAGTGATGCGTGTTTATGGCCGCATTTACATTACATTGTGCCCAATTAAGTTTTTTTCCTATCTGATCGGATGAGACACACGTACATGCAAGCAGGAAAAAAGCACATGGATTCCGATATTCTCAGATCGGTTTCAGGCCTCATTCATAAGTGGAAATAAATATATAATAGATAATCGGATACATTACATATGTGTGCCATGTAAGCGGACAGATCAGATATTCACATCAAAGCGAGTCGTAAATCATTGAAAAAGCGACTATGGCGAATGACGTAAACTCAGGTGGACACCAACCACGATCACATGACTCTTTTCAGTGGCGCAATGGAGGACGAAGTCTCAACCAATGCTTTCTTGAGCTTTAAAGATGGCGTGGAAAGCTAAATATTGCATTATTTCATTTGCATTACACCATGTTGACGTCATTGCACATGTGCAGATTTTGTTTCAGTTTTCAATCCAGTCAAGTGTTTACATGTCCTGTCCAACGGTGTAAACCAACCCCCTACAATCCGGATAAAATGAACTCATTCAGATCGGCGTGACTCTTTTATTCAGACTGCACTACTAGTCCGATTACAAGCGGATTATTAGGGTCCATGCAAACGCAATCGAGGGAAGACAGATGTTTATTAAACTGGGATCTGAACCGTAGAACTGTTTGACATGTGCTGTAACTTACACAGCCACACCCTAAAGGCCTGAACTGAAGACACACAGAGGTAATGTGTGTGTGTGTGTGTGATGGGTAGGTTTAGGGGTCGGGTTAGTGTGTGTATGTGTGTGTGTGATGGGTATGTTTAGGGGTCGGGTTAGTGTCTGTGTGTGTGTGTGTGTGTGTGTGTGTGTGTGTGTGTGTGTGTGTGTGTGTGTGTGTGTGTGTGATGGGTATGTTTAGGGGTCGGGTTAGTGTCTGTGTGTGTGTGTGTGTGTGTGATGGGTAGGTTTAGGGGCCGGGTTAGAGTGTGTGTGTGTGTGTGATGGGTAGGTTTAGGGGCCGGGTTAGTGTGTGTGTGTGTGATGGGTAGGTTTAGAGGTGGGGTTAGTGTGTGTGTGTGTGTGTGTGTGTTGGGTAGGTTTAGGGGTCGGGTTAGTGTGTGTGTGTGTGTGTGTGTGTGTGTGTGTGTGTGTGTGTGTGTGTGTGTGTGTGATGGGTAGGTTTAGGGGCCGGGTTATTGTGTGTGTGTGTGTGTGTGTGTGTGATGGGTAGGTTTAGGGGTCGGGTTAGTGTGTGTATGTGTGTGTGTGATGGGTATGTTTAGGGGTCGGGTTAGTGTCTGTGTGTGTGTGTGTGTGTGTGTGTGTGTGTGTGTGTGTGTGTGTGTGTGTGTGTGTGTGTGTGTGATGGGTAGGTTTAGAGGCCGGGTTAGTGTGTGTGTGTGTGTGTTGGGTAGGTTTAGGGGTCAGGTTAGTGTTTGATGGGTAGGTTTAGAGGTCGGTTTAGTGTGTGTGTGTGTGTGTGTGTGCGTGTGTGTGTAATGGGTAGGTTTAGGGGTCGGGTTAGTGTGTGTGTGTGTGTGTGTGTGATGGGTAGGTTTAGAGGTCGGGTTAGTGTGTGTGATGGGTAGGTTTAGGGGTCGGGTTAGTGTGTGTGTGTGTGTGTGCGTCTGTCTGTGTGTGTGTGTGTGCGTGTCTGTCTGTGTGTGCGTGTCTGTCTGTGTGTGCGTGCGTGTCTGTGTGTGTGTGTGTGTGATGGGTAGGTTTAGGGGTCAGGTTAGTGTGTGTGTGTGTGTGTGTGTGTGTGTGCGCGTGTCTGTCTGTCTGTGCGTGCGTGTCTGTGTGTGTGTGTGATGGGTAGGTTTAGGGGTCGGGTTAGTGTAAGGGGAGAGAATATACAGTTTGTACAGTAAAAAAACCATTACGTCTGTGGAATGTCCTCATAAAACACGTGTGTGTGTGTGTGTGTGTGTGTGTGAGAGAGAATGCCAAGCATCAGAGGGCTTAAGCAGTGGATCTTCTCCCCAGACCGGATTCCCGTCGGCCCAGTGGGATGCCAAGGGTGTCGGCCACGTTTTTCTGGGATCGGGCGGCTCAGAGCAAGAGGGATGTGTGTGTCCTAATGAAACACCACACGTCTAGCACCCCCACGACCCTCTCACACTTCTCTTCCCTCCCCTGCGAGGTGGCGGTGACATCTGAGGGCCTGAAACATGATCTTATTGATTCACATCTCAAGCTTTGTGATGGAAATAACCCGACCACAGCCCCATCCCAGAATATACACACGGGTATCCCGTTAAATAAAGACCCGGAGAGTCACAGATGACAAGTGGACGTGAGTGAGATCTTGTTTGGGTTCAGAGCTTCAATGTCAAAGTGCTGACATGTGATGACAGCGCACAGACGTGTTGAGCCATTCATTTCTGTGTCCCGAATGGCCCTGATCCAACATAAGCAGGCTCTAAAATTAACTAGTTATAAAACATAACACATTAATCTATTTATTGAGTGATTACTAATTGACAATGCATATGTTGTGTGTAAGAACGACATGTTGTTTGGTCATCCTTGTATTATTAGAGCATGTGGGATTTATAGAGCACTTCATTCTTTACTTACGTTCATGTCATTTCAGGATTCTGTGGAACATGAAAAAGGGTTTTTGAAGATTCTTCATGCAGATCTTCTTCATAATGACAGGGTCGTAAAAAAAAGACCCATCATCACCATTGATAGTGACCACGATTATTTATTGTTATTAATCATGTTTAAAATACGTGCCAAATGTACTCTTTGTATATTTATGTT